TAGGTATGTATATATTATAAACCTTGCGGATTAACAAGTATTGTGTATAGTATACGCGAAAAGTACACATTTAAATAGAACACATTAACGGTTTAAAATACGAAATATATTAGTTACACATTTGTTGACAATTTATCTTAACTATGGCCCGACGTTTCACGTGTTAAACAACCAATAACATGATATATTTCGCATTTAAAAGCGCTAAAAGTGTTTTATTTGAAGTGTTTAATAACAAAATATCTACTACATGCATTATTATATACTTTATTTATATTACTTTAAGTTACAGTGTAACTAATACTAAGTGCAAATATTTACGAGTACCTAACAATACTTTGTTTCTTCGTTTCCCTAACGGCTTGTATCAACCGTGATACGGATTTGTTTCCTAATTCCACAGAAGACAACCTACAAGCAACAATTATACTAAAGATATTCAATCCAACTTAACCCAAAGAGACGTAAGCACCCAATATGTGTTAAGCGATTCCCGCAGCAAGCACCCTCAAGATAAGATTCGTAACGCCGTGAATAAGACACGACCAAGGAATTAACAGTTTAAGAATCGAGAGCGAAAATGTTTCCTTTTGTTAGGAGTGTAAGCACCTTTTTTATAGAACAAACGTGTCCCCCCCTAATTCGTGGAGTTTTAATATTCACTTATACAAAGGAAAGGAATTACGGGAGGAAATGAAACAGGGTAGGTAAATAAATAAGGAGTCTCCTCCCTTTGGGTTACAGTGTGTTAGATGTGGTACGATTCCAATTCGATTTGTTAGAATTACTCGTCGATATTGGCTGGAATAGCTGTGAGAATGTGAGTGTAGTTTGCGAGATTTTACTTGGTGATTTGGCAATGAAGGTTTACTAAATTGTGACGTACAATTCCTTTATTAAAAGATTATTACGCATAAAACAAAAGACGCAAAGACAGGGTGTAGACTTGGTTTGGTTTTATCGGTTGATATAAAATCAACAAGATGCTAAAACTGATACTTGTAGCAGTTTTTTAAAGCTTTCGCTGTCAAACTTAGTCATTTATAATGTATTTATATGTAGTTGTCGCAAATACTAAACTACTATACATAGTAAATTCAAAGTCAAAAATCGTTTATTCACGTAAGTAACTAGATATATTTATGAACGCCGCATCAGTTATAAACAAAAGAGTCTAAATTTACACTGACCACTTCTCAAATCAAGGGCGTAGAACGAACAAGAAGAACTAGCAAGATACTCGCTGCCGAATTTCGTTTCACAGATTTTACGTACTTTAAGTCGACTATCGCCTGTTGACCTATTCCGAATTTGAACATTCGGATATTTAAATTTTAAACTCATCCCGATACGTGGAGCTACACATTAAGTACTAAATTAAGATAATTTTAGCTCCCAACAGATTGTTTAGACGAAGTCTAGGGTGTTTCAAATACGTGTAATACTCGATGGGAATCGACACTACGACTCATTGATCACTAGCTCTACTTGCTACTATAGGATCAACGACTCCGTCAAAATATGAAGTTAATTTGTGCTTCGTATTTACAACATTTGTGGATTTCTCGAAAAGCCAAAACAGATCGACAGCGCATCTAGTTAGAATTATAGCTATATATTTTATACTCACGGGGACCCAATGCTTTTCCGACTACTCTTGACCATCTAGAATTTAGTAAACCTTTAAGTAAGCTCGCACAAGACAAAATAATTCCTATAATACTACGGTTTTAACAACCTATTCCGAGAACTATATAGTACAAAAAGCCACATATAGCTGAAAATACAAAAGAAAACATAAAATGAAATAAATGAAGCCACTCTCTTACGGAGCGCACGTAAACGAGCGTAAAATAAACCCTAAGAGGCATAGTAAAAGTCACAAAAATAGGCAATAAACTTGCAACGTACAATACATGTAAAAAGGTGAACGTTCGTCTTTTCCACTGCGGTTAATAATTGATGAGCCAAACTGCCGAGTTGTGTTCCTCATAGAATATTTATCTCCCCAGCTACCCTGTGTTACCGCCTGCTTGATGCTACATCTATACCATATGTATAAGCACTTAATTGGCTAGCTTCTGTTACAAACGATTTCACTTTTTGTTAGGGGTTTGAAGCTTTATTTACTAGGTTTTTCGCTTTAACTCAGATACCATCATTCTCAATGAAGAATTTGTTTGTTTGAACGCGCTAATCTCAAGAACTATTGGTTCGAATTGAAAAAACATAGCGCTGTGACTAATAGGAGCGAAAAAACAGCGGGAAATGTCGAAAAAACAAGAAAAATCATGAATCCTCGTGGGTTTCCATTGCGTACACTGCGATAACGTTTCAAGACACCCAAAAAATATTTAGGAAAGAATGATTTCTCTTTAAATGATGTAATAATAAAAAAGTCCCCGACAGCGCGGGTAACGGCTTTAATTTATGGAGTTGAACAGGCAATTTGCAAATAAAAAAATTGATACCTAAAATTAGTATTCTACGCGTAAGTACGAAGTCGCTGGCTCAGATAATATTACATTAAAGGGAAAAAAAAAAAAAAAAAGGATTTTAAAAAAAAAAAATCTACGACGCAAAATGGAACAACGTGTTGGATGTCGGTGATCGTACCCGTTACCATTTCACCAACGCAGGTTCGTTAAAACGATTGCGCTACATTGAAAATATATTTTCAACGTTGTTAATTCCTGTAACTTAGCCAGAGTAGCAATATTTTGGTTAAGCACAAAAACAGACAAATGCCCGTTTGACGGATTTGTCTGTGTTCGTGACAATAGATCTCCGTGTAACAAGAGACGTGAAAAGGATAAACAATCAAACATAAATTCAGGAATATCTCGTGCTCTTCGCCAGAGCACATCCCAGGACTTAGCAATCTTAGAAAAGAGACTGAAGTGACCGGACTATTCAAATATAACAAAGTTTATGCTAAAATCGTCCATATTTGACATTTGATAAGACAATTTAATATACATTTAAAATGCGTGTCTGATAGTCAGAATTTAAATAATAGAATTTCAATCGATTCCGAATCGTATTAAGATGAACAGATGTAAATTACAAAGTGTTAATGTAATTGAATATTGATGAGTTTAATGTCCTTAAAATAAAATACACACAACTAGTTGTTTTACATGTGTATGTTGATTGAAGATTTGAAATTTATTACTTTTTATGAACCATGTTGTTTCAGTTTTAGTCGTTATAATATCAACTAAATTATATAGAAAAAAATTACGTGAGTAGTACACATTAAAATAAAACAAAGCTTTTCTAATAATGACGAAGAACTTGTCTACATAAATTCTATAAGTCCGTTTCAATATTTTATCATTGTATGGTAATGCATGTTAGAAATGTACATCTATCATAATAAATTAGTGTGATAGCGAGTTACGCATTCAATATCTTTTATCGATAAATCATAGCGTCTTGTCACATCCTTATCTTCCTTGTATGTGAGAAATACGGACCTAGTTTGTGAGGCTGGGTGTGTACCTACTATTAGATCTTTCTTATCTGTGCTTATATAATTGTCTATGTAAATCTAAATCTTAAAGTAGAATTGAGAATAGAGTTAATTTATTTTTGATATTATATTGTGTCGTGTAGTTTCTTTCGCACTGTCTGTGAAATTCGATCGCACTGCACTATTACAATTACATTAATGTTGTATTTGATACATTAATGTAATATGTTTTAATATACTTTACTTAAAACCTTTGTTAATAAGTAATAAGCTATTTATAAGAACAAAAAATAACGTCGATAAAACAGACCTCATTTGTCATAGATAAATACCATTTCATTAATCTACAACTTGATGTCTAACTAATCTATATTCGATGACATTTTGAATAATAAATAGTTCCAATAAGGATGTAGAGTAATCAAATTAAAGAGGCTGATTTCTGGTTTCTTATCTTTAGGATGCATTTTACATTTTTGCGAACTAAAAGTTCAATGTCTTATTTATATTTTTATTGATAACTAAATAACAAACCTCATAAAACAGAATCTAATATTCATTCTATACTATTGTCATATTAATATGTTATATAATATTTAGTAAAATTAGAAAATTAAAAGATGTGTGAATAAAAAATCGATTTATCAGATAAATTAGCACTTGCAACATTTAATTGCCTATCGATGAAATGTTTAATATCACAGAAAACAACGAGTACAGATAACACGAACATTATTAATGGTCAAAACAAAAAGTCAATAGACATATGACAAATTGACCGAATCCGTTGAATTAATTATTTTTAAGTAACATTTTAGCAATTTTGCATCGATACAACCTTTTTATTTGATAAAATACCCGTATAACAATTAAGAACAAAAGATCAGCGTCGGCTTTATATCACGAATATCTCCCGCGCTTTTTTCACAAAAGTCAGTGGCGCCGTTCGTATCGAGTGCGTGTTATCTGTGGCGAACACAAACACCGCTTGTCCATTAGAAGGTAATCTGTGCCACCAGCACGATCCTAACTAGCATTGTCTCACATGGCTTCGGAATTCTGTTATACTTATACCGCACTTCGCGTTCCAATTTTAAATATTTTTTTTGGCATTTCGATTTTGCCTTTCGCCTTTCTTTTAGTTAGGGTACAGAAACAAAAGATTCCCGGGGGCTGAAATCTAAAATGTTTCATAACTAATTTTTAAATTGTTTTTTACGTAGAGTTCAAATTTAGCGCATAATTTTCTTTGTTCACTATTCTATTTATGATAGACGATGAGAGACTAAAATGCGGTTGACTTGATATACCCCACGACGAACGAAGAAATACCCCAGCCATGTAACAATGATACAAGATACTCTATCGTCTTATTTTGGCTTTGGATATTCGGTATAGTATCTATTAGATGTACTACATAGGCAAGAAAATTTTCATAAAATAATTAACATTTTATCAGTTGTAAGTAATTGAAGCTTAAAGATTTATATCAGGAGAAACTATAAACTATAGTCAATCGAAGAACCTACCTCCATTTTGTCCGTCTGTTCTGAAACCAGGTTTTAACTTGCGCATCTGTCATCTTCAGTGTCTTAGCAAGTGATGCCCTTTCCGCAGACGCTAAGTACTTCTGCTTATGAAACCTCTTCTCCAGCTCAGCAATTTGCATCCTTGTGAATGATGTTCTCGGCTTTTTACGTTTCGGAGGCGTCCTATTCTGGTAAGGGTGACCGATCCGTCGGGTTATTGGAAACGATGCTGAAAGAAATAGTTGCGTTTAGATCGTGTCATCTGTTATTTAAGAAAATCATTACGGTATCTATAGGTATATAACCTTTGTAGAAGATCATGACAATTAGAGCAACAGCACGGAACGCAGTGGATGACGGTTCAAGTCCTGTCCGTGTTATAAATGGTTTTAATTAAAAGTCGATTTTTACTAATAATTTTTACAGGTTTTGGGTATACTTGATAGAAGATGCCATACCACAGCCATCTTACCGTTGGCCTATTTTAGCGTTGGACAACCAGATACTAAACTCAAAATGTGTGAATCTCTGTGGAGTTGATTCTTTCCGGATACAATTACAATAATCCTACCACCTATTTATTTTCGCCTTTCCCGACGCGGACTTTTTATAGTTAGATTTTGATAAATATATTGTATATAGTTATCAGACTCACGACCTATTGATATACCATTCCCCGTATAGTTGATCCCAAAAAGTACAAAATACATGAATAATATTAACATAATCCAGTAGTTTGAATAGTTTATTTCCCCCTAATTTCCATAAAAATTCACAGGCAGCAACAATATCGCAATAAAGAACTAAGATTACATTGAAGCTTATCTTTATAATTGAAATCACGACTTAATGACAACTTGTATTACAAAGCCCATGAATAAATAAAAATCTCATTAAGTAGTCCGTATTCAGTACAAATTGCTCCGGCAATATTGCTACGATTGCTACAGCATTTATAGCAATATACGGAGAGCAATCAAAACGTTCATATTAAATCTTAAATTACACGGTCACTCGTGGAAAATGCTTAAACGGAATACTAAACCACAGCCAGTAATAACATTTTTCTGTTGCTAATAGTATATTGGCGCGGTTGCTTTTTTATATCAATTCATGAATATAATGAACACATATACATTTTAAACAAATCCGTTTTATTCTTTAATTTGCAATTAACTCAAACACTAAAACACTACCTATAGATGAAGTCGTAAACAAAAATAGACTTATAATAGTTATATTTTTATATTATAAAGCTGAAGAGTTTGTTTGTTCCTTTGTTCGTTTAAAAGTGTAGGCTATTGAGGAAGGCTTTAGGCTGTATAACATAAGGATGCGGCCAATAGGGGCGACGAGACAGTGGAAAGTGTATAACAATCGTGAAAATTTCGCTTTGATGGCTTCTGTTGCGTACGTTGCGAAAAGGGTTTAAGAAACCAAGGAATATGTATAAGAGAATTATTCCTTTGTGATTGATCTTAAAATGTCTTATAATATTTTAAGATTAACTTGCAAGTCCGACTGGACGCGGACATCATTTCCACGCAGACGAGTGTGCAATAAAACTAAAAAAAATGCTAAAGTATTAAAAACTACATGATCCACCGAATGCAGCTGTCAAAGTATACTCGTAGAACTAAATATATAAAAAGTCTTCGTTTTTAGTAACACGTGAGCTTGAACAGTTTTCCTCTATGATTGGTTGAAGATTAGTTATAGAAATAATGAGTGAAGCACGATTTGTATTTAATAGTCTGTGAGATGAGATCATTTTTAAACAAGAGTTTTTCTATATCTTGTGTAATTTAATATTAAATATGATTATTATTATTACTAGCCATACATTGTTACTATTAGAACAACTAATCCGTCGCAAATACTGGTTAATACTAATTATATAACCGTACCTACCACTTAGTAGATTAAATAATTACAGATATTTTTATAAACCTTAAGATTATTAACGATTTTCGTTAAAACTTACAATACCTCAGTTATAATCTTAAAGACTACTTCTTTTAAAATAATTTCTAGTCTTCAACGATTTATATATGCTACCAATAATATTCGTGTTTAAGTTTCATAATGCCACTTTCAAAAATGGAATCCGATTAAGCTATGTACCCTCATTGGCCAACAGAACAGTAATGGCGGCTTCACGTGACCACAAATAATGTAATTGTGAGGGTTTGGTGCATGATACATGACTGTTTAACATCGTAAGGCAGGCTGGATTAAAGTTAACGACCTATTTGTACGAAATTACGAATGTCTTGCCGCGAATAGAATTTTCTTTACTTGATTTCCTTTTTTCGTACCCACGAAAATTAGAAATTGTAGTATTCGCAATAGTATTGTTCTGTAATACATTGGTGGCATTAACTTTGTATATCAAACAATGAAAAACTTTGCTTTTAAGACGAATGCGTTTGAAATTAAACGTTCCAATGTCAAATTTGACAGTGGTTTGCCACATAATATATGATAAGTTCAAAGATTTATATACAATTTAGAATTGGAACAATTTGCGAAGATTTTCGACAGTTTTATGTGCCCGAAATAATTTAAAAAAAAAAAGTCTACTCACATAAAACTAAGATAGTAGGTAGTACTAACCATAATCTAAGCTGTTTTTTACTTTGTTTCCTTTTTTCGTACTGTTATTCTGTAATATGTTTCGTGACATTAACATTGTATAAATTTAACGAAAAACTTTTCTCCATTCATTTTGAATGTGTGTTAAATTTAATATTCCAATGCTACGTAAGGTAATTTTAACATTAGCCACAAAATATATAATACAATTCAGTGAAACATTTATATACAGTAGAAAAGAAGATCCCAACTCTAATTTATTAAAAGGATCTAATAACTGATTGACGACTACGTTATTACCATACATGGACATCGGAATTCACCACTACCATCCCACGAAGAGCAAGTAATCTAGGCGGTAGATTAAATGTTCGCCTACCCGCACTGGAGCGGCATGGTAAACTCTGAAACCATCTCTTCTATTAGGGCCAAAACATGTGCCCAGCAATACGACACTAATAGGTTGAAGTGAACAAACGTTCATATGGCTATATTAATAAAATAGTATTTGCGAATATAATATTTCCTATCAATAATTTTATTAGGAATAAAAACGAGTAAAATTGTCCAATAAACACACAAAGTCGGGTTATACAACGTACCCGGGTGGAAAAGGGTGAGATAATAAGATTTGGAAGGTCGTAATCCGGTTAGAGTATGATTCATGTGTGTCTGCGGCAATATGGCGATATGGTTTGTGTTTCGCGTTTCCAAATGGGGATGTTTAATAGCTCCTTTTTCAATTACCGCTTGATTGTGACCCTGGACTTATCTGTGGAGTAATTTTTATCTGTGGGTTGATTTCGACCATCGATTGAAAGAAGTACCCTTAACGAAGTATTTAATTATTTTTAAAAATAGTTACTTTAAGCCAGTAGGGCACGTTATAATAAAACTCTTTTAACCGGTTTAAACGAGAAATATCTTTATTAACTAAGTTTTAATTAATTTTAAATAAGGCGTTTCGTATCCTTACAGAACTCACAAGACATCATGACTCACTGACCAGTTTCTTTAAATACCGACGATGATGAAATAGATGGCGCTAGCGTAGATTTGGCGTAATAAATTTTGCGTCATACGCCGTTAAGATAAAACTTAGATCCGATTTTACTTTATTTGAAAGTTGATATATTTATGTGTTCGATTTCAGGCATTAAATTCAATTTTGTTTCTCCAAGATCAAAAGCTGTACCTCTCCTACTATTGAAAAGCTTTGTATATCTACTGTTGACTGAACCATGCATGTCAGAGACTGCCTTACAATTGAGTAAACAATATAATATCATGTTAAAATAGAATCCTTCCCTATATTCTAGCTTGAAAAATAGTTTCGCCGTATCCTTAGTTACTTGAACTAATTTTAATTATACATTCTGTATGTATAATTAAAATTAGTTCAACAAGCGTAATTATACCACAATGCTAGACAGTTAGCTAAAGGAAGTGTGTTTATAATAAACTTCGAAGTAAAAACAAAGGTAAGTTTCCATAACGCGTAATTGCTTTAAAATTATTAAGTCTTAATCTTACCTAATAAAGGGGGCGAGAAAAATTAACAAACAAATTAACTTTGAAAGGGTTTAACCGTCTCTTTCATTCGTAGTCCGGGGGGTAATCCTTTTATGATATCATCCCTTGGGCGACGACCCTCGTCTCTACAATTCGGTTTGTATCATTATATGATTTATCTTGCTTGAATTCTAAAGTTGAATAACTTAGAGAGAGTTCTTTGAGAATGTAGATACAGATTTTACGTGCGTTTCACGACTCCGTAGTGTTTTACAGATTTTCGTTTTATAAATGGCTTATTATTAACAGGTCCCACGTGTTCCTAAATTTGTTTTTAAACATGTTGGACTTCGTGTGGAAATCTGGATATTAAATGCGTGGTAAGAATATCGAAAATTTCGTCCACAAACGAAAATCTTGGAAATTGTAATCTCGTTGCGGCTTCAGTCTCTGGATTTATATAGTTTCCCCCCACGAGGCCGGAGGTGATCACATTTTTGAGTCCGATTCACTGATCTCTTATTGTACTAGCAATCAGTTGATCGGATTAAGTACCCTGACCAAAACCATCTATTGCTCGTTATCGTTTAACGCAATCAGAGACGATCAATCGAAGTCAAAAGTCGGTTTTAAACATTACCGCACGAAAAAAATATTCACTTAAGCATAAACACAATAATATTACAGAATATTATATTAACGGTCGATTTGTTATTACTACGTATTAAAAATGACTGACGAAAATCTTTCAGCATCGCCCGTGCAAAAAGTACGTTGACATCAATGTTACAGTCTACAACAAGGTACACACTCAGAACGAATGCAACGTCAAAAATGCAGCCTAAACCCGGTTTCCAATTGCAACTCTGACCCCTGAATTATCTATGAAGCTGGACGATTGAAGCGCACTGTGTAACTAGCTTGAATTGGTATCGCTTGTGCCTTCAAATATGTATGACTTTTTTGGGCAGTCATTTTTTCCGCTGCCCGCTGGGCGGGGTAATTGTGATGTATGTGATTGCACTGTTTGATTGCTATGATTTTACGGAGTGCCAAGAGTTAAAGGGAATCCCCCTGTGATCACGGCTGCTGCAGAGCATCTGAAAGTTAACTAATACATTTCGTGTTTTATTTAAAGGGGAATGAAACTTGTTTCGGCTTGATTATATTTAAGTTTTCAAATACATAGTAGTTCCAAAATTTTGCAAATTTAA